TCCTCCTCCTCTTCCTCCTCCTCCTCCTCCTCCTCCTCCTCCTCCTCCTCCCCCCGTGTCGTTCAAGCACTGGTCCTCGTCCTGCTCCGTGTCTCTCCCGTATAGAAAACACCTCCTCGTCGCATGGCCCGGATCCGCCGCGGGGGAATTACGATACATTACATAGAAGAAAACATATTGTTGTCGGACATTTGCGAGTAGGCACTTTGCGAGTAGTGGAACGCACCTGGTGACAATAGGCATGTCGATAGAGCGGGCCAGGCGCTTCACCTGAGACATCCTCACCATGTGTGGCCCTGAAGCTTGAAATCGCCAACTGCTACAAGGCTAAAGGGCGTGTCGTTTTCTAAATGCAGCTGTAGGACTGGCGCCGCGCACATTCGTCGTAGAAGCTCCCAACGGCTGCAAAGATGAAAGGCGGATAGCTTCCAGAAGGTGGCTCTCGTCTCAGCGCCGCCCACACTCGTCGTAAAAGCTCCCAACCACTACGGAGGGCGGTTCTTCTCCACTTGGGGCTACCGGCGAATTACCAGAAAGTGTGTGGACAGAGACGTAGATGTCGTGAAGCAGTCGCACGGATCGACGGCGGCGCTTTCCCAACACGGGGCGCAGTGGTTACACAAGCGGAAGGCGAATCTTTCTCGAAACGACTATCGCTGGACATCCCCCCGAACTGTACGCCCTGTGGAGAGCGCCTCATTTTGGAAGCGGCGCTCTTGATCAACTGGCGGGCCCGTGTGGCCATCGTCGCTCGAGACGGGCAGCCCGTAGTGAAGAGGGATGCCTGCACAAACCGAAAATTGAGGACACCGGACACAGAAAGGATCCCGGCATCGCTGCTGCACCCCCGATTTACTCTGGCCCACCTCTTCGACATCATCCGCATCCTTCCGTTCCCCATTCCCCCTCCCTTCCCTTTCCCCACCTCTTCACACCGTCCCTCCCGCAAAACCCCTCTCTCCCACACACACACACACAGACACACACACACGCACACACACACACGCACACACACACACGCATACACACCCACACACACACTTGTGTGACGGTCGCGGCCCCGCGCGAAGCGACGAGGCGGAGCAATTCGAAAACACACACACTTGTTTGGCGGTCGCGACCTCGCGCGCAGCGACGAGGCGGAGCAAGTCGAATACACATATATATATATATATATATATATATATATATATATGTATATACATATACATATATACGTATATATACGTATATATACATATACATATTTACATACATGCATACATACATACATACATACATACATACATACATACATACATACATACAATGATGTAAATATGTGGACATATATATACACACACATGTTACACAGAGATGTATGAGTATATAAGTATGTATATTATCATAAGCATACCCATACCTATCCATATATGCATACAAGGCTGCAGTGGAGCTTTGCGCCATGCATCTTGTTCCTCGAAGTTTTGGAGCGGTTGGCCTGTCGCGCCTACCTCTTCTCCCTTTGGGGCATGCAAACTCGCTCGTATCACGGAGAAGAGGAAGAAGGGGGGAAAGGGGCAATCAACTTGGGACGGGCAAAGGCTGTCAGTCGGTGACCACGGGCGTACGGAATGGCGTAAATGGAAACTGCTGAAGTCCTGGGTGCGCAACAGAATTTCCAGAAAAATTGTTGCGAACCTGGGGTTGTGAGCAAACTGCGGCTCTACGTAATGAAATACCATCTGAGCGGGCGAGAACTCAGGGATCTACACG